CTCCCTGCAGTCCCCTCTCTGTGGGAGTCAGCGGGCCCTTGAGGTGATGGCCAGCCTCAGGAGAGCTGGGCTTTGCAGAAGTGGCTGGGGGTCTTCTCAGGCACACACAGGTCTGCATATAACTTGGTTTTAGGGACATAAACAGGGGCCCGGGCAAGGCTGGAGGCACTCCCACCCTAAAGGAGACGGGCACCGCCTGCCCGTCTCGCCGGAACTCCGGGTGGAGCAGAGCAGGAGGCAAAGTTGTCCTCAAGCTGCCCCATGGGAAGGCACCCAGGTATGTTTGATTTAAGGCCCAGGAAAAGTGGGAGAAGAAGAGCCATGGCCAGAGCTCAGCCTGGGACCCCCGACATCCTGGGAGACCCAAATAGGTCCTGAAATTCCCATCTGGAATGCCTAAAGAAGTGACATGCGCACAAAGGCGCTTTCTTACTGAGGCTGAACAGAGGCCGGGAGGTCGGCACAGGCTGATCCGGTGCCTTTTTTTTTTTTTAATTTATTTATTTATTGAATCACTGTGGGAAAGGTTACAAAGCTTTCAGGTTTATGTCTCAGTCATGCAAATATCAAACACATTTCCCTTTACCAATACTTTTTTTTTACCATGAAGAACCCCAATAAAACCCCACCCCCCACCCCTCCCAGTCCCTGTGGGGCAGATGAATTCTAGTTAACACTCTATCTGCTTTGATTAGATTCATTGTTTCAATAAAAGATTCACCACTATTATTTAGAGTTTACCCCCCCCCAAATCAGACATGCTGAAAAAGCATTGTGAAGTGATTTGCTTTCTACAGCTGGGTTCAAGAATTAAATGTTGGTTTTGGATTTCTGCTATTTTACTTATTGACCCTGGAAGTATTTCTACTGAAAGTCAGATAGTTAAGAAATTGGTTTCTGTGTTCTGGAGTCGTGGCCGTGCTGGAGAGCCGCTAGTGGGGGGCAACTGGTGGCCTCGGTAGGGCGTGAAGGGCGGACCGAAATGCCCCCCTTCCCATGAGGTTTTAGTCGCCCCCACTCCCCCAGCTCATACCTGCTGTCCACAAGGCTCCAATGCGGCCGCCATCCTTCTTTCCAGAGAAGAGAGGGCGAATGGGGCAACACCCTTTCCCCTCTGGGCAGACCTGATGGCCTGGATTAACGCATAGTCCGTTCACTTTTCTGCTCCAAGCTGCCGGGTTCTGCATTAAGTCCTTGTGCTTCTGGGGCCGTGGCTGTGCTGGAGAGCCGCTCGCGGGGGGCAACTGGTGACCTCGGTAGGGCGTGAAGGACGGACCGGAACGCCCCCCTTCCCATGAGGTTTTAGTCGCCCCCATACCCTGATTCGGTGCCTTTTTATTCCAGACATTTGATCGGTAATTTTATACGTATTCACAATTTTAGCAAAGACCCCAATTGTGTGTGATCAGTAAAAGTATGTGGGCACTCTCGCTTCGTACGTTCGGTGGCATGAGCCGCCTCCTCACCCCGGCTGGCCACCGCCACCACCAACAGATGCATGAAGGAGGAAACAGGGCCTCCAGGCTGGTTGGCGGTCAGTCGCTGTTTATTCCAAGCTTGGCCCTGCCATTTATTCTATTCTCCCCACGTCCCTATTCCAGTCTCACTGTGCACCCCCATTCCAGTTGCCCCCGCCCCTCATTCTTTTTTTTTATTATTATTATTAGTGAGACACCATGAGGTACAGTTGTAGACTTACAAATTTTGTGCTTGGGTTTCACTTGTACAATGATCAAGCACTGCCGTATAAGTACCCGCGCGCTAACCGATTGCGACCGAGAGTATCTCGCCCACAAGGCAGAGCCTGGCAAGCTCCCCGTGACGTACTCGATATGCCAGACACAGTAACAACAAAGTCTCCAATGGAGACGTTACTGGGCCCGCTCGAGCAAATCGATGATCAACTTTACTTACTTAATGATCGAGTACCCATCCCTCCACCAGTGCCCATTTCCCACCACCACGGATCCCAGTATCCCTCCCACCCCCCTTCCCCCCTATCTCACTCTGCCTCTGTGGCAGGGCATTCCCTTTTGTTCTCTCTCTCTTATTGGGTGTTGTGGTTTGCAAAAGAGGCAATGGGTGACAATCATGTTTGGTCTATAGTCTACTTTCAGCATGCATCTCCCATCCTGGGAGGATCCTCCCAACACCCTTTATTTGGTGCTCCCTTCTCTATCTGAGCTGCCTTTTCCCCTAGCATGTGTGGCTGGCCTCCAAGCCATAGAGAAAAATTCCTGGTACTAATCTCGGCCATTCTTTGGGTGTTAGTCTCCTATTTTTTTACTTTATGTTCCCCAGATGAATGCAATCTTTCTGTGTCTATCCCTCTCTTTCTGGCTCATTTCGCTTAACATGATACTTTCCATGCAGTACCACTTGTATGTAAATTTCATAATTTCGTCTTTTCTAACAGCTACATAGTACTCCATTGGGTAGATGTACCAAAGTTTCTTTAACCAGTCGTCTGTTCTCGGGCACTTGGGTTTTTTCCAGATTCTGGCTATTGTAAAGAGTGCTGCAATGAACAAACAATTGCAGATGTCACTTCGACTATACATTTTTGCCTCTCTGGGATATATTCCCAGGAGTGGTATTGCTGGGTCAGATGGGAGCTCAATTTCTAATTTTTTGAGAATCATCCATACTGTTTTCCAAAAGGGCTGAACCAGTCTGGCATTCCCACCAGCAGTGAAGGAGGGTCCCTTTCTCGCCACATCCGCGCCAGCACTGGTTGCTTTTGTTCTTGTGGATGTGCTGCCTCTCATTCTTGTCTCTACTGTCCCTCGTGCCAGTCTCCTGTCTCGTAGTCCTTCACCCCATCTCCCTTCACCCCATCTCATAGCCTAGTTATAGAGAACAATCACCAAGGGTTGGAGACAGCAACTCCGCATAGGCGAGGGAGCACGATCAGCCTAAGAAGCCCTTCCTTGGTGCGGGGTGTGTGTGGGGGGTGGGGGGCGGTGGGGATAGGGGAAGCTCTTCTGAGACAAATATCTCCTGCTAGGAGAGATCCACTCAAGGGCAGAATTTCTTCTAAGGGCATATTTCTCCTTTCCTTAGTCCATATCTATTCAAACAATCGTCTTAATTCTACTTCTTAATAATATTAGTCATTTTGTATGAACACAGTAAGAGATATATTAAGCTTAAAGGGTGGGTCTCCTGGGAACATCTTGCTACAGACCCCAGACTACAGTCCTCAGGCCAGATTAGTCCTTCCTAAACCCAACAGGGTCCTTGTCCAGTCACTTCTCTTTGGGTCATGACATAGTTTGTCCATGACCGTGCTCTTAACTTATTATAAGTTTTATGGCGCTTGCCCTGTCCTATTTCCATGCCAGGATAGCTCACAGCTTGTCCTGGGTCCATCCAGTCCCTTTGCCGGGACCCTGCTTTTGGGGTGCTAAGAACTAAGGGCAACTGAGCAAATATGACAGATGCCCAGGAGTAAATATTATTTGGAGTCAATTAAATTCCAAGTTACAAAAGCATAACATTGACTGTTTTCCTGTGTCGATACAAAAAGGGACATTGCTAAACCATCCAAAGGACATAAAGGAAAGAGAAAAGCAATATTTCACTTACAAATACGAAATCCAGAGATCTCTGAAGAATCTGACTTTACAGGTCATAGGTTCTGGTTAGGGGAAATGAGCGATTAACTGATAGGGGAAGCAGAGCACAAAGGAGAAGTTGAAGGTGAGTCCAGAGGAAAAGGGAGTGCTTCGGGAGCGTTGTGATGGGTGTTACTCAGTCAACCTAAGCTCTTGCTTTTCCCTCCTAGGAGGAGAACGAACTCACCAATGTTATCCAACGCCCAGTAGGTGAACTTACAGCTTTTTGGAGACTGTTTTTGAGGTAGCTGGGTTGCCAGATTGCATAAAACTAGAGAAATCAAGATGAAACATCAAGCACTGAGAATTATAGTGATGGACAAAATTAAAAAGTGTGAACATAAGTTTAAGTGAGGTGGGGACAGAGTGAAAATAAATTTGATGTGTGTGGGGAGGGGCGGTCTCTGGTCCCTCCACAGGGGGCGAGTACATCCACTATTCCAAGAGGCCACGATGACAGTCTTCTAGAGCTGAGTGAAAAAGCACCCATCCTTCGTGTGAATAAATTAGACCCAACAGACATAAGAATAAACTTGAGTATGTTTCCAAGTCTGGAAGGTAGGAGGGACCTGGGCAGTGCTGCCCAGAGGAGCCCGGGACTGTGCGGCTGGGTCCACCCTCTTCAGCGGGCGCTGGACGCAGGTGCTCCTGCTCTTGGGCCCTTGGCCTGCGCCCCCTGCAGTCCCGACCAGGGCCTGTGTCTGTGCCCATGTCTATGGCCGTGCCTGCCCATGTCTCTGCCCGTTTCTCTGCCCGTATCTGCGCCTGCTTCAGCCCACCTGTCCAGTTCTGCTCTGGCCCTGATCCTTAAACCACAGATTCTCAGCCCTGGGTGATATGCAGCCCACGTTTGGGTGTGGGAGCTTAGTGAGCACCGCGCGAACAAGGATTTGGAGAAGGATGACCTGGAACAGCAGATACAGGGCTGCAGGCCTGGAGAGGGTGGGAGCGTGCGCCCCTCCCCCACTCTACCCCCCTTCCTCCCCCTCTTCCTCCCCCTCTTCCCCCCCTCCCCCTCCTCCCTTTCCTCCTCCCCATTCAGCCCTCCCCTCCTCCCCCCTCCCTCTTCTCTCTCTCCTCTTCTCCCTCTTCTCTCCTCCCTCTCATCCCCTCTCCCTCATCCCTCCCCTTCCCCATCACTCTCCCTTCCCCCTTCTCCCCCTCTTCACCCTCCTCCCCCTCCCCTTCTCTTCCTCTCCCTCCTCTCTGTCCTCTTCATCCTCTTCTCCCCTTCTCCCTCCTTCCCTCCCTGCCTCCCCCCCCTCTCCCCTCCCTCTCCACCCAGCATCCTCATCCTCGGGTCCTTTGTTTTCTGCTTGGGGGCACTTCCCTCCTTGCTGTGCTCCCTGGGCTCTCCGGCTGACCGCTGCTTTCTCCTCACAGGGCCTCCAGCTGGGGACGCGGGAGCTGGAGGAGATGGGCGCCATGTTCTGCCGGGGCCTCCTCCTCCTGGAACTCCAGTCCGCGGGCTGCAGCCGCCAGCTCCTGGGCCGTGCAGCCACCGTGCTGGGCAGCGCCGAGAAGGAGGTGCTGGAGCAGCAGCTGCAGGGGTGAGTGCCTCGGGCAGCTGGGCACCACAGCGATGTGGCTGTGCCAAGCTCGGGAGGGGGGCAGCCATCCGCACACCTTACGGCACACGAGGAGTCACACACGCTCACACACGTGTGCCTAAGAACCTGCATCCGGTGGGCTGAGAGGGCTTCTCCCCACACATGGGCGTGGGCACCGTCAGGTCGTGCCCCCTTCAACCCTGGCAGGGGAGAGGAAGTTTGGGGCCGAGAGAGGCAGGCCCGAGACCCTCCATGAGCTGTGAGGGCATGTCCTTGATAACACAACCTCTTAGACTTGTCAGCCACACACTGGGGACAAGAGGGAAGAGGCAAGGCGAGGCAAAGCATCTCCAGCCGAGGAGAGAGGGATCGTGGGGACAGTGTGTGTGGGGGGTCTCGGGGGCGGAGCTGCCATGGGTGAGGGATACGCACCCCGTGCCTGCCAGTCCGCTTCTTTTCCTCCTGCCACCCAGGTGGCTGTTCCACCGTGGCTTCTCATCAACCAGCAGATGGAGCCTGGAAAGATCTAGAAGAATAAAGGAGTTGTGCTTTGCCAGGCTCTGGTTTCTCCCAGGCTTCGTTCTCTCGGGCCGGCCGTCACTTGCTCTTCCCCGGTGCCATCCATCAGGGATGATGACAGAGGGGGCGTGAGCTCCGCCGGACGTCCTGGCCCACCTCCTGCTCTGACACCCGTCAGCGCCAAAGGCTGGGCGTGCTTGGGCATCCAGGGGACGAGCCCTGACAGCCAGCCGGTCCCCTGCCAGGATGGATATTTCTACCTGTCTTCTCCCGGTCTCCTTGGCTCCGCCACCGGGTGCAGGAGAGCCCTCCCCCCCTCACCCCTGCCCTGGGCCCCCCCTGACTGCTCATTGCGGGAAGATGGAGCGAGGCTCAAACTGCTGCTTCCCGGGATTGATTGTGCCGGGCTCTTTGATCCAAGGCACAGGAGAAGGAGAACGCTCTCGGTGCGGCTTCTGCTGATTCAGCCTGAGCCTTGGCTGTCAGACCCAGGGAGGGTCGTGGGAGGAGACGATGGCCCTGCCCTCCAGTGCACGCACACCTGTGCCATCTGCAGCCAGTCAGGCCCCCAGCAGGGCACCCCCACCCCCACCCCCATGGCTGGGTGGGGTTTTGAGTGATTCCTCATGTGAGGAGCCCTGGAACAGAAACGCCCGCTGCACCCCAGGGTGTGTATTGCATGAATGGTGTTGCTTGTGGGATATGGACCAGAGCAGGCAAGGTTCCTGTGCACGGACCCCAAAGCAAAGCCGCTCTGGAAATGTCTTTACCCCAGAGACATGAAGGACAGCAGAGAGCTGAGCACAGGGAGATGCTTCAGCTCCCAGGCGGGTGGTCCTCATCCTCCGGGCTCTGAGATCAGGCTTGAGGGTCTCAGGCTCAGATGGGTGCTGGAGCATCGGCAGGACCCCTTCAGCACATAGACGCAGCCTGTCCCAGCCGGCCTCGGCCCAGTGTGCTTTATTTATTTATTTATTTATTTATTTGCTTTTTGGGTCATACCTGGCAATGCACAGGGCTTACTCCTGGCTCTGCGCTCAGGAATTACTCCTAGCAGTGCCCGGGGTTCCATATGGGATGCTGGGAATCGAACTCGGGTTGGCCACATGCAAGGCAAATGCCCTATTTGCTGTGCTATTGCTCCAGCCCCCCTCTCCCCCTGTAAGTGTGCTTTAAACAAGCACAGGGCACTCACCTGGCACAGAGACTGCCTGGGGTCCATCCCCAGAATCCTAATGGTCCCCCGAGCCCTCCAGGAGTCATTCCTGAGTATAGAGCCAGGAGTCAGCCCTGAGCATGTCACTCCACACAATAAATGATGACCAAGTGCCCCATCAGGGGTCAGAGACCTCTGCCCACCCCCCCATGTGCCCCCTTTCATTCTGGACCCCCAACTGCAGGTGGGGGTCTCCTTGGATGGTGCAGAGGAGCTTGCTGGGTCTGTGGGGGCGGGGCTAAGCTCACCTGCCTCCCTCGCCCGCCTCTGTCTAGGCTAACCTTGGGAGCTCGCAGGAGACAGACAGCGGCTGTCCCGCCTCTGACAGCCAGTTTCATGCCTCATTGGCCTTGAGAACAATTAGAGGGGAGCCAGCGTGCATGGGGCAGTCGTCTGCCCGCACTTGGCTCTGCTCTCCGCGCTCCCAGGGCTGCAGAAAGGCTGCAGGCCCAGGAAGGTGTCTGGGTTCCCTCCTGCTTCCCAATCCAAGTCCCAGAAAAAAACAGTGCACGTGGGTCCCAGCCATGGGCACTGCCCCCAGAAAGAGCCACTCAGTCCGCAGGCACAGGCTTTCCTTGGCAGTCAGGTGCTCATTCCACCACCGGACCCCTCTGGAGCCGCCTGCCCTGGGCCACGAGTGCCGGTCACCCCTGCCCTGTTGGGCTGTCGTAGTAATCGCCGCTGTTGGGCTGCTGCTTTGCTGACCTGGGAACAGTCAATCTCTCTGCGAGTGAGCTTGGTGGTCCGACAGGGCAACATGAGACACGTAAAACTGACAGAAAAGACACTCGGATTGCCGTAAAATATGGGGTCTGGAAAGCACAGAGATCTGTCCTAGTCGCGAGTTAGAATCCTGGGAATCTTACAACCCTGAGAGTACGTTTTTGGTACCTAGACAGGCCTCAGCAACGTAACTGGGCTCCTTTTCTTGCAACTTTATCAGCAATCATTTTCCATTTTTGTTTTTTTTTTATTTTTAATTTTTTATTTTGTTTGATTCTGGGGCCCATGTCTGTCAGTGCTCACTTATCATTGTGTCTGCATTTCAAGGTCACTTCTGGTGGGCTCGGAGGATCCTATGGGATATTGGGGATCAAACCCAGGCTGACCACATGCGAGGCAAACACCCTACTTGCTGGACTATCATTCTCACCCCGAATAATTTTTGTTTTTAAATAGACTTTTATTACAGTTTTAGAGACACAGCCTCATGGGAGGGAGGAACAGCGATTCCCAGGGGGGTCTCACCCCACACTTGGCTCTGCCTTTAAACCAACACCCTCGAGCTTGGTTTCAATCCATAAGCTGACACTGACCAAAGTCATGACACCCAAAGTCATCTCCCCAAAGTCATGACAGGTGGACATTCAGGGCTGTGCTCAGATCTCTCTCACCCGTGGGTTTGGACATATGCTTGGTAACGTTTGTCTGCTGTGATGGCCCGGTAATGGATAGCCCGCGATGAACTCTCCCTGGCCCTCCTCCATGTCACCGCTGGGCACGCTGGTCCTTTTGCTGTCTGCCTAGCTGTGCCAGGCAGACAGCAAATTATTGGGGGTGAGAATGATAGTCCCCAGATGTCCTTCATTGTGTCAGGCTTGTGTTCATGGGCAGCCCTCTCAGACCCGTCTTAGCCCTGGACATTGGCATGAGTCCCTCTGCATCTGTCCGTGGCTCAAATCCCTAAGACATGGGACCTCGTCTCTCTCACACTGACCAGACACCGTGTTCTGGAGCATGGTCTGTTGATTGGTTTACCTGCCCGTGGATGTCTTGGGCTCTCAAGGCCAGTCTGCTGTTAACCAGACTGCTCCCCATATCCTGTGTGAGATTTTGTGCAAAAGGGGTCAGCTTCTGGGACAAATATGGAGGAATGTGATTGCTGGGTCCTACAGTCAAAGCCTGTGAGTTTGGGGAGAAGTGGCCAAGCTGGTTTCTGGAATGTTCTTCGTGTTCCACGTTCCTGCCAGCACATGGCCGGTCTCTGCTCTCCCCAGCCAGGTCTCAAGCTTCAGCCCCTCAGAGGCCGTATTCATGGTGCGTGGACTCTGGTGATGGCCCAGAACGGCCATCTCCTGATACTTCCCATCTCTCTTCTGAATCGTCTTTTCAGATTATTGGAACCATTTGGCCAAGGAGGTTGTATCCTCACTGTTGAGTTTTAGGGGTGTTTGTCTTGAGGATCAGATGCATCTTTTAAAAATATTTTTTTCTAGTTGGAGGCTGGTCTTTTATCCTCTTCACTGGGACTTACAGAAGAGATACCTGATTGTTTTGTTTGTTTGGGTGTTGGTTTGGGGGTCACACCTGGTGATGCTCAAGGCTCACTCCTGGCTCTGTGTTCAGGGATCACTCCTGGCTCTGTGCTCAGCGATCACTCCTGGTTCTGTGCTCAGGGCTCACTCCTGGCTCTGTGCTCAGGGCTCACTCCTGCCTCTGTGCTCAGGGCTCACTTCCAGCTCTGTTATTGGGGCTCACTCCTGGCTCTGTGCTCAGAACTCACTCCTGGCTCTGTGCTCAGCGATCACTCCTGGCTCTGTGCTCAGGGCTGACTCCTGGCTCTGTGCTCAGCGATCACTCCTGGCTCTGTGCTCAGGGCTCACTCCTGCCTCTGTGCTCAGGGCTCACTCCTGCCTCTGTGCTCAGGGCTCACTCCCAGCTCTGTTCTTGGGGCTCACTCCTGGCTCTGTGCTCAGGACTCACTCCTGGCAGGCTCAGGGGAACTCATAGGGTGCTACATATTGAATGTGGTCAACCACATGCAAGGTCAGCACCTAACCTGCTGTACTATGGCTCTGGGCCCCGAGGTATCTCCTTTCTATCCAGTTCAGCTTGTCAGCTCTGTCTGAAAGGACTGTGCTTTTGCCATCAAATGCTTGGCCATCTGATCTCCCCTGCATCACATATGGGTAGCTGTGTATTAAAATTGCTGCTTTTTTAGGTGAAAAAAGGAGGGAGCATTCGTTTGGTTGATAGTTCTATCTTTTCTGACATAAATTGCTTCAATATCATTAGTATTTTTATTTTCCTGGTTTTTCCCCCAGAAGTGTTGTGGGGGCCATCAGCAGTGCCTGGGCTTAACTGGGTCAGCTGTGTGCAAGGCAAGGTCCTCACGTCCTGTACTGGCTTTCCCGCACCGCTAGTGTTGTTCTTTTTTTTTTTTTAATGCATGATTTTTATTCTCTTGCTCTGAGAGCTTGTATCAAAAAAATATATATTAAACCAAGGAAAATAACTCAAGACTTATGGGCCTCTTGTGCTTTAA